AGAATAATTTATTGAATTCATTCCCTGCCGAACTATTTTTTCCACTCTTGTGTTAATCATTTCTTGCACTTCATTACACATTTCTCTTCTACAAATGGTTTAATTAATGTTCTTCTGGTGTCAGTGGCAAGTAAATAAATTTTAAGAATTGTATAATTTGCACCATTATTTTAAATTGTATTATTTGTAGTATATTGAAAATACACGCCAGGATATTAATAAATTTTATGTGCTGTATGGGGGATGCTCACGGGAGTATAAATCACATGTTAGGTTATTGCAGTAATAATAACATGTCAGTCTTATAGCCCATCGAAGCCCATCATGCCAAGGATTGTGTGCGCATCGACTTCACATTATTACCCTGATCATTAGAACAAACGATAACAAATGATATGTGGAACTCTCATACTTGCTTCCCAAGAAGGGCATTCCATTGTGCTCTCACGTACAATATCAGCACATATATGGTAATTAATCTTCTGAGGAACACATTCGTTGAAACCCGGTATAATAGTGAAGTCTGTAATTATGAATAATGATAATGGTAATCATATAGACTTTATTCTTGCAGTTTACAAAGTGCTATTTTACTATGCACAAGAATATCTATAGGTATTTGCAACATAAACTGTATACTCCTCAATAGAGTGGAAAATGTTGCAAATTTGGTTTTCCCACAAGTCCAGTGATCAGGGAACCTTGTGAGTTTACTAAATCCTTTTGAAAATAGCGCTGTTTTATTTAAAATTTGTTTTTTTTTTTCATTCTGGTTCGCATCTCGGTTAAGATCAGCCATTACTTTCAGGATGCGCCCACACAAAATATTTAAACTACAGTAATTACTAACAGACTGCCGTAATTAAGAATTTATATAGCCTGCATGAGGAATACTTTTAACATAGTGACAGTGATTCAAATGTATAGGGAAAAAAAGTTTGACAGGTTGTTCCAGTGAAGAGGTATATCAATATGATACACAAGAAAAGGAAAAAAGCTATTGTATTTGATGAGGCTTTGTGTGATTGGATATTTTTTGAAATATAGGCTTTGAAATTTAGTAGGTTTGACGGCCATATAAGATTAGACCACGTCTTATTCCATTCCTAGGACAAACGCCTGTCGACGTCATTGAAAATAATCAGTATATTTTACTCAAAAAAAACTAAAGACCAATTTTTAACCGTTTATTTTTTTCCGTTACAGGTTTGGGGGAGGGGGGGAAAGAGTGGGATCGTGAATCATGGATTTTAACAGTGTTATTGTATCACATGTGAAATCTTAATTTATTTTTTGGTTAAATTTGAATGCTGAAACTTTGGGGTCAGTGGCGCCACGGCACCCTGCCGCTTGGCTTTTTGGCCACTTTTTAAGAATATTTAGGGAGCCTCTCAAAATAAGTCGATGCGCATACCCATGGACCACGCGTGATAAAGGATTAAGAAACTTAGTAATCTGGTCGCGTGGCCGACGGGTGTTCGACTATGGATTATATATATTCAGAACATTCCATTATGTTGAACAGGGGTCATACTACGTATTTTACGTTTGGCTCTTGAATATTAAAATAGCCCGAAAATACACTCGCTTTTACTTTTTGAATCGACTGTTTTGTACTGTACTGTGATTATTATCCACCTAGTTGCCTAGAAACTACCTAATTCGACAAGAAAAGTTCCCACAAATAGGCTTCCATGGTAATTGGAGACAGACACACATTGGTGTTTGTACGCCGCCGAGGCAACGTAAAAAGTAGATCAGACGGGTCAGATGCTATAAATAAACTAGACTGGATATATCTAGTTACGGCACAAGTGTGGCTGTGAAAGCGTTGTTCGTCGAATACTTTATTTCACTTGGTGGTTGTTCACTCGTTCTGCACGTATTATAATGTCCTCACTAACAAGACTGTTCAATTAACAACGTAGATATGGAGATATTTAATAGTTTATTCAGTAATCTATAATAATAATAAATGTCTAGTATTAGAAATAATTTATAACGCCACTGTAGAGTAGTTACTGTAATAAGAGCGAGGTATTTTGTGTTATTCGATTTTGCTTCCCAAATTCCCATAAAATATGCTGATCAGTAAATTCTAAGGGAAACCCTTCAATGACGCCTATTTCCCAGTATATGTTATATTAATATGTATGCTTTTATAACACCCACCATAATATTCTTCCGCCCGCCTACAACGGTCCATGGTCGTCGACCTTTTAGAAGAGAAGGCATATCCATGCATATTGCCCAGACGTTGTTTGTAAATGAGAGCAGCTACGACACGATGCTATGAATTGCGTGTTTGCTTTCCTATTTTAATCTACACTATATTATCAAATTTTATGTGACAAAAAAATGTGCCTTTTGTCGTAATAAACCACAACCTAATCACACTATATCAGATTATGTGTTACTTTATTGTATACAGTGTATTGAGGGTTGTGGTCAAGAGTGAGGTTTCTATTAAAAAAAAAAAATTAAAAACCAACCTCTCTTATCTGTATGTTACGTGCAGTATGTGTGACTATGTAATATTCTCTATAATACAGTACAGTAATATAGTGATGTACAATAATAATTTTTTATTTTTGAAAAGTGTTTAAAATAAGAACAAAATAAGAATATTTTGAGCCTAAAATAAATCGGCAAAAAAATAAGAACATTAAGTCTGGGAAAAATATCACTGGTTCTTATTTTTAAAAAAAGGTGTTATAATTATGCGATAAGAACCCCTGTTGGGCAATAATGTTTATAATGAATTGCCTACGTTTTATTTGAGTGATTTATTAGCTTTCAACTGAAAATAAGAACATGAAATTAGTTTCCTTGCCAATTAACAGACCTATAAATTGTTCCTATATTTTTTACATTATATTTTTATAATTTATTGATTGCCATAGTAAAATGTCAGTAAATTGGCAAAAATAGAATTATTTTGGTCCATTTTCAAGTTCATTCAATTAATCAATTAAATAAACATTTATTCATTCAAAGTTCTACATTCTCGTTCTAATCTATAATTTACTTATCCATAGCAATAAATTAGTGCACATAGTATTCAAGTATTAAATTTTCATGTTTTTATTTAACTAAGCACAGACAGTAACATTTCTTTATTCTAACATTAATTTGTTTAACTATATATTTAGTAATTCAAAGATGATCAAACAAAGTATAACATTGATATAAGTAATTATTTTGAAAAATCTGATAAAAAAAAATTGTAAATGCAGAAATATAAATACTGTGTTGTTTGCTATTCACATCAGGAAAGCTAGGCCTATTTCTTTCACGACAGGAGGAATCTTGAGAGTATAGGCATGTGGAAATTAAATTTCTGCTAGTTTTAAATACTGAAGTGAACAGTGGATCCAGCTCTCATTTTATAGAAAAATGATTGATTGTAGTGAAATGATAAACCTACAGATGAAAAGATAGGTTGATATCACATAAGAATAGACATTCCATACCTCTCCTACAACTGTGGAACCAAGCCTTCCGAAGTAAGTCCATTGTCCTTGTAGTTTGAATTATAGCACCACATGTGAATGTGGACCCACTTTGCAGTGCTCATTCTTTAATACCAAGCTCTTTATCGATAAGGTAGCAGCCCTCAAAATTAACGCCAGCATTTGTCAATGCCGACATAAACGGCGGCGTCTAGCCACCCAACGCCGATAACAAATCGCCAATGTGAAGATTTTAGGCCTAGCCCGAGCTACCCTAGTACCAGTGGTGGTAGACTCAGCAGAATCGCTGTGAACACAATATTAAACTTTATTTTTAATGAAAGCAAGTTATTTATTCTTTTATGTTGCATTATGATTAAAATGTGAATAAAATCAAACTGGATTGTGTGTTTCATGCTTTTATATTGTTTTTACGTGCATTTTTGGTTTAAACATTTTTTTTCTTAACACAACACATTCTTTGTGTAAACATTAGGTCGTGCCTCCTAAACTCTGCCTGTTAATTAGTTAATTTTTTTCATGAGGTCATGGATGGGCAAACATGCTTTGTTGTGATGACGTGAGATCGCCCAAAGTTTCATAGTGTGTGACAACTTACAGACAGGAACAAGCTCAGTGTAAATCGATTAATTTTTAATTAACCAGATTTATAAAAACAAATAAGAAACCCTCAAATCTAAATAAATCCTAAAAATGTAAATTTTATTTTCTGCAAATTTCCTCCGTAATATTGCAACATGTTTTTAAGGAATGAGTGAAGCTATGCATTTGTAATTTACACTGATGAATCTACAACATCCAAATCCGAATTAAACGTCTACTGAAAAAGAGTCAGCCGTCGTAGAAACTTGAGTTCTGTCTTCATTTTTGGGTTGATTCACAGGGTGTTGTGCGGGTGTTGTGCTAGGCTAGTTGTTAATTAACAGACAGTGATGATTATTGCATTATTTCATCTGGAAATCGTTTATTAACTGTTTGTTCGGTTTGTAATTGGTTTTTATGTTCCGGACCGAATAAGACATCCGGTTTTGGGAATAGGGAGGTCCGGTTTTCGGAAAGTATTTTATTAAAGGAAGAATGGGAATGCTTTAGGGACTTGAAATAAAGATTGGTTTAGCGTGAAATTTTGTTTTCTGAGCATTAGGAGATTCCACTGTAATTTTTTTTTTTGTTCATTTTATTCATCATCATAACATAAACATTGTTCAACATTTTTATCAAAGTTGTGAATTTGAAAAATCAGTACGTAGGCTTTCCAGCTTGTTTGGGTGACTTAAATTGACATCCATCACTGCTAAACAGGTCAGCTTGGGTTGATTTCAGGGCTGTAGCTGAAACTAAAAACTGCCGACGTTTTTTTTTTTTTTTTTTCTCTGACATACTTTTTTCCTAATTTTGAGGGCTGAGGTTGTAATTACTCATGACAGATTCATATAGAAACTGCATCTATCTTTAATTGCTTCAATTGAACTTTTTGAGGATTTTAGCAATATATATTTAAATTTGTATATTTCTTTGTCTTTTTAGTGTAAAAGATGAGAGTGAGAATCAAGTGTATGACTCCGAGTCCAGTTCGATCATCAAGTTGAATAATGCCACCATTTTGTATCTGAAAGAAGTCAACAAATTCTTGGCACTAGTCTGTATCCTGAGGGAAGGAAATTTTGACAGACAAGGTATTTATTTATTGATAATTAACATATTATGGGAAGGTTTCTTTCATCTCTTGAAGTTTAAACATTATTTGGTTATAAAAAAAAAAAGTAGTGACAGTCAAAGTGCTTCAAGAAAAGCTTATCTAGAAATCTTTACTAAATACATTACACTGTAGTTCAAATTTAATTTAGTTTTGGTAATTCAGATTTCTAGGTAAAAGGTTTTTTGAAAAGGCCTTCTGGGTTTTATTACTGGTATAATGCTTTTTGCTATCTGTATCCTGATGTTGAGACATCCATTTTTGGTTGTAAAAAAATTACCAATTGTCAATTTGCTTCGATAAGAGCATGTACGATTCTGTATATCTAGAACCCTTGAAGTGGTGTTCGCATTCAATTGTAGTTTATCCATTTCAATTTTCTACCTGATTAACAAACAAAATGCCTTCTTGACAAAGCCTGATTGATTTTGATTACTCTACATTAAAGGTCAACAAAATTAAAAACTTTAATACTAGAATCAGTAGTGTGTTCCCTTTACCACCCCCCACCCCCCGGATATATTTCACATGACAGACAGTTATTTTGCTGGACACTTCCACAGTAGCAAAGAGGATACATTTATTAGACACTTCCCACCAAGATGTCAATCAGGGAAAGGAGAAAACAAGCCATCAACTAGATTGATGTATTCTCCAGGGGTGGACAAAAAGCACAATTCGTCGGGGAGAAAAAAAATTATATGTATTTTCTACATATTAGTAGACTCTAAAATCGATTAAATAAGCCTTTAAAAACCCCTAAACCACTATCGAAACCTCCCCCCCCCCCTGTCAGGAAAATCCTGGCGCCACCCCTGGTATTCTCCACCATAAGACTTTATCAGAGTTTGTAAACTTAAAGATTATTGAGATTTTTGGAATAAAGTGATTGATTGATATTTGAGTTACGTTTCTTTCTGTAAATAAAATTTACGATCTGATTATTTACTGTAAATTTCTTGCATCACCGTTGAAGGATATGAATGGTGGAGCCTATTATTAAATGCCTCGATGCCTACATCTCAGATTGAAGACACCATGGTCTGATAACAATTCTGGTGGAAGATAGTATGTGCTGTACAAAATTATTAGTATGAAATTTTTCATTAGTGTTGATCCAGCAAAATAAAAACCAATAGTACTCACACTACGTTTCGCGAACGATCCGTTCGCTTTTTCAAGTAGACTGGTGATGTTATTTCCAGTCTGGTACTCTGGTGCTCGTCGACGACGCAGCGATGCACTTCGACCTCAACAACACCGAGATGACGTCAGACCAGACTGGAAATAACATCACCAGTCTACTTGAAAAAGCGAACGGATCGTTCGCGAAACGTAGTGTGAGTACTATTGGTTTTTATTTTGCTGGATCAACACTAATGAAAAATTTCATACAAATTATATTTGGATCCAAATGAATTTATTTCAAAACAAAATTATTAGTTTCCCATAAGCTCAGACTAAAAAGTAAGTAGGAGAGATGTGTTGAGTCTGAGTCTGCCCAATTCATACCATTGTGGCGCTTCAATCTGTGCGTTCCCAAAGGGTGAGCCCAGATTTTCAACCAAACATTTGAGTTACGTTTCTGTGGTACGGCAAATAACATTTACGATCTGATTATTTACTGTAAATTTCTTGCACCAATGCCTAATATTGCAGGCATCGATGCCTACATCTCATGCATGGGTAGTAATGACTTCCTCAAGAAAATCGAAGAGATTACAGATGTGTGCATTGTGGGTTTCAGCAATCAAGTATAATTAAGTTGAGCATTTTGTGAAAAAGGTATTCTGAAAACAGCACACAGGTATAGATTATTTGTGTAGTTCAGCTGGACAACTTTAGAAGTTGTAAAACAGATGTAAAAGTGAAGGAGTATTGACAAAGCAGTGTCATCTTTATTGATTTGGTGATGCAGTTGAGGTGAGGAGTATATTTATGTCTCACAGGAATTCATGTTATGATTAATTTCATCCTTGGTAGAAAAGAAACATCCTTAGCTTCAATGTAGCATGTTGCTAGATCTACTTACAATATGTGACAACTCCTTCAGCCCAATGCAAGACTCCCTTGTGATGTATTAACCATGATGTATATTAATCAATCTTTTTTCCTGTTTCTTATACACATCTAGAAGTGTATAAGAGCCAGGTTATTTCCAGTCTGGTCTGACCTCA